CCTCTCCTCTCCTCTCCTCTCCTCTCCTCGCGCATCTCTCCATGCAGCCTGGTTTCAGATCTATCTTATTCCCCTCGTTTTATTCGCTACGAACATCTCCTCTCCTCTCCTCGCACATGTCTGCATGCATGCCTGTGCTGTAGGCTTTCTTGCAAATCCTCAATCTGATGCCAATCCCATCCCATGCCATGCCAGCATCCCATACCGTCCCACCTCTCCCACCAACATCAAGCAAGGCCTGCCTTGCCAGCTTGCCGACCCTATCAATATAGAAGTTGCGAGTAATGAGACGACTTTTTGGGCGCCTCAATCCCATCCCATGCCATGCCATCCCATGCCGCCCCACCTCTCCCACCAACATCAAGCAAGCCTGCGCCAGCTTGCCGACCCTCGTGTGGGGACTTTTGAGTCGACTCAAAAGTCATCTCTCCCACCAACATCGAGCAGGGCCTGCGCCAGCTTGCCGACCCTCGTGTGGGCGGCACGGCACGGCAGCTATTCACTCGATTCCAGTCAGCTTTTCTTATCTTATCCCATCCATGTAGTGTTGGGACGTCTCAAAAGTCCCATCTCATCCCACCCCACCCTCTCCCTCCAACAGAAAGCAAGGCCTGCGTTACTTCGCCGACCCCCGTCTGGGCGGCAGCTATCCACTCGACTCCAGTCAGCAATTCGTCTCAAGACTCCCATCCCATCCCATCCCATCCCATCATATCCCACCCTCTCCCTCCAACAGAAAGCAAGGCCTGCGACACTTCGCCGACCCCCGTCTGGGCGGCAGCTATCCACTGGAGGCCATGCGCGGGCGGCAGCCATAGCCATGAGGTGCACGGAAAGCGAGCCTTCAGCACGACCATCAATGGGGGACGTGGTGCAAGCGCTCCGAGCCATCGCGTTCGAGCACTCGCCATGACCAGGTGCGTGTGCTGCTGGGGCCACCGCACCCCTTCCTCTTCCTCTTCCTCTTCTCACCATCAACCTCCTCTGCACCCCTGCGCTGGAGGCCATGGCGCGGGCGGCAGCCATAGCCATGAGGTGCACTGAAAGCGAGCCTTCAGCGCGGCCATCAACGGGGGAAGTGTTGCAAGCCCTCCGTGCCATTGCCTTGGAGCACTCGCCCATGACCAGGTGCGTGCGCTGGGGCCCATACCCCTCCTCTTCCTCTTCTCTTCCTCTTCATCTTCCTCTTCCTCTTCCCACAGTGACCTTCCTCTGCCAGCTTCTCCACTGGAAGCCATGGCGCGGGCAGCAGCCATAGCGATGCGATGCACGCAGGTTGAGAAGTGGCTTTTGAGCCTTAGAAGTCACTTTTGAGTCGACTCAATAGCCATGCGATGCACGCAGGTTGAGAGGTGACTTTGAGTCGACTTAAAAGTCACCTGGAAGCCATGGCACGGCGGCAGCCATAGCCATGCGATGCACGCAGGGTGAGCCGTCAGGCGCGGTGACTTTGAGTCGACTCAAAAGTCACCTCGTTAGCATGGCCAGCCATGGGGGATGTCATTCAGCCCTCTGCTCCCATGGCTGGCCGTGCATGGCTATGGCTCATTCAAGCCCTCTGCTCCCATGGCTGGCCGTGCATGGCTATGGCTCATTCAAGCCCTCTGCTCCCATGGCTGGCCATGCATGGCTATGGCTCACTTCAAGCCCTCTGCTCCATGGCTGGCCATGCAGGCTATGGCTCATTCAAGCCCTCTGCTCTGCTCCGTCTCCTTCGCTTGGAGTTCCTACCCGTCCACTGAAGCTTACAGCCGACTCACATGCCTCGTCTCCTATCTTCTCAACTTGTCCCCCATTTCCCCTTTCCTCATTACCTGCCCCATCTCCAGGATGCTTGAGACGTCTCAAAAGTCGCCAGGATGCTGCTTGCCCCTGTGCCTGTGCCTAACTCCAATTCATCCTCTTCTTTGCCTCTCATGCTCCGTATGGTCAGACCAACTCACATCTGTCCTCTCCTTCTCATACTCACATCTGTCCTCTCCTTCTCATACTCACATCTGTCCTCTCCTTCTCATACTCACATCTGTCTCTCCTCCTCTCTCATACTCACATCTGTCCTCTCCTTCTCATACTCACATCTGTCCTCTCCTTCTCATACTCACATCTGTCCTCTCCTTCTCATACTCACATCTGTCCTCTCCTTCTCATACTCACATCTGTCCTCTCCTTCTCATACTCACATCTGTCCTCTCCTTCTCATACTCACATCTGTCCTCCCTTCTCATACTCACATCTGTCCTCTCCTTCTCATACTCACATCTGTCTCCTCCTTCTCATACTCACATCTGTCCTCTCCTTCTCATACTCACATCTGTCCTCTCCTTCTCATACTCACATCTGTCCTCTCCTTCTCATACTCACATCTGTCCTCTCCTTCTCATACTCACATCTGTCCTCTCCTTCTCGCCCCTCTGTTCCACTCGCCTCCCCTCCTCTTCCCCTCTCTTCTCCCCTCTCCAGGACGCTTCTTGCCCCTGTACCTTACTCCTCATCTTCCTCCCATGCCTCTCCCGCCTCCTCCTCCTCCTCAGCCTCCTACCAACAATACCACCAGCAGCAGCACTACGATCAGTCACAACACCCACTCGAGCAGGCATCAAGCACACGACAGAACAACCTCCTCCGCCACCGCAGCTATCAGCAACAGCAACAGCCCCAATTCCGGCACCAGCAATATCACCAGCAAGACCAGCAGCAGCAGCAGCAGTATCAGCACCACTACCCTTCACCAGTCCCCTGCCCTATCCATCCTTCCTCACTCCCAATCCCTTCTTTCTCCCATCCACCAACCCATCCTCCACCGCTGCTACAGCTGCTGCTGGTGCTGTGGTTGGTGCTAGTGGTGTAGGCATTTCCCCCTCCACCCCTCTCTCTCGCCCCATTCACATGTCCATGTCAGCTCCTCTCCCTCCCATCACTTCTCCACACCAACCCCTCCACCATCCTCTCCCCCAGTCCTATTTCCCCCCTCCCCAAAACGCCCCTACCCCTTCACCCATCCCCCCCTTGATGCTGCCCCCCAGTCATTCTCATTCCGCCTCTCTCCACCCCTCCGTACCCCCCTTAACCTCACCGCACCATGTCTCAACCACTCACCAACCTCCCACATCCCAACAGCCCGTCACCGCTCTCCACCTCTCCACACCGCTGCACAACTCCCCCACCGCTCCACACCCCAACCCATCCCAGGCGAGGCCTCAGCGTCAAGTTCGGATCTGTCGAACCTGGCAACCCGGACTGGTTCGGCCGGACCAGGTTGGGCCTGGCCGAACGCAACAGAGGCCACTACCAGAGAAGCTAGCTGGCAGGGTGCTGCCTTTGAGTCGCCTCAGGAACAGATCAACAACACCACTAGAGACTCTAGTGCACAAACCCCCCCTGCCTCGTTTGTACAAAACTCTACTCGATTTTCCCGGAACTCTGCCCCGTCTGCCCAGACGCCTACCTCTTTTGCACGGAACCCTGCTATAGTGGTCATTGGCAGCTCGTACGGACAAGTACCACGGCCTTCTCACACTGCCCGTCAGAACTCGCAGGGAGTAGTACCGGCCCAGTTGCTGTTTGCTCCTCCTGAGCAATTTAGAGCAAGAACTGTGGCTGAGGCACCAGTAGTGTTGGACGGACGAGGAGAGGGTGGAGGATGGGGAGAGGGAGCAGCAGCAGGGGGAGGAGGGGGAGAAGAAGGGAGGGAAGCAGCAGCAAGAGGAACAGTTGTGCACCCTCATGCACAACAGCTAGGAGCAGCAAAAACCCTCCCAACAGAGCCACTCGCTCGCACTCCCACTCCTCCTCTCGCCCCACTCACTCCCACTCCATCCAATTCCCGCTCTCCACTCCACACTCTCTCCCCGCTTCCCCCCCTCTCCCCCTCACTCGCCTCACTCCTCCCAGCTCTCTCACTCTCTCCCTCTCTCCTCCACCCCCTTACCTTACTCAACCTTACACTACAGCCGCCCCCCTGCCGGCCCCCCTGCGCCTCCCCCTATGTCTCCCTCCTCCCTCTCCCGCTCCCCTAGCCACCCCCCTGCCCCCCTATGCTCCCCCTCCCCCTACGCCACCCCCTCCCCCCCCCCCCCCCTCCCCCCCCCCTCTGCTGCTCCCTCCTCCCCCCTGCATCTGGGTGACCTCTCCCCCAGTCAAGAGGCGGCATTCCGAGGCTGCTCAGGATGAGCATTCGAGGACTCGACTACAGGTACGGGCCAGGCCTTGACTGCAGGTATGGGCCAAGCCTTGACTACAGGTACGGGCCAAGTCTCGACTACAGATACGGTACAAGCATCACGTACAGGTATGGGCCTAGCTTTGGAAACAGGTACGTACCGATCTTCACTACAGATTCGGTTGATTGCAGGTACAATCAAATCCATGTTCAATATTGCAGGTCTGATCGATTCCAAATCCTTGCCGGTCTCTCTTTCAATATCACAGGTCTGAGCTCATCGGAACTCCAAGTATTGCAGGTCTCTCTTGTGTCTCTTGTTTCACTTGTCCCGTCTTTCTCTTCACATAAATGATCTGGCTCTTCACATAAATGATCTGGCTCTTCACATAAATGATCTGGCTCTTCACATAAATGATCTGGCTCTTCACATAAATGATCTGGCTCTTCACATAAATGATCTGGCTCTTCACATAAATGATCTGGCTCTTCACATAAATGATCTGGCTCTTCACATAAATGATCTGGCTCTTCACATAAATGATCTGGCTCTTCACATAAATGATCTGGCTCTTCACATACATGATCTGGCTCTTCACATAAATGATCTGGCTCTTCACATAAATGATCTGGCTCTTTACATAAATGATCTGGCTCTTCACATAAATGATCTGGCTCTTCACATAAATGATCTGGCTCTTCACATAAATGATCCGGCTCTTCACATAAATGATCCGGCTCTTCACATAAATGATCCGGCTCTTCACATAAATGATCTGGCTCTTCACATAAATGATCTGGCTCTTCACATAAATGATCTGGCTCTTCACATAAATGATCTGGCTCTTCACATAAATGATCTGGCTCTGACACTACATCTGACACTTGTCCTCTCACTTGTATCTCATCTCTCTCCTCCGTCTTCCCGCCCTCCCCTCTCTCTCGTTTGTCTCGCTTCCCTCTCTTGGCAGTGGTGACATGACTCTCGATGTCTCCTCTGCATCGCTCCCATACAGCCAGCCTCCCTCACAGGCAAGTCGCCTGCTCTATCACCACCTTTCCCTCCTCCCCTCCTCCCCTCTTCCTCTCAAACCCCCTGCTTCCCTGCCTCCTCCTCTCGTGATGCCTCTTCTGCATCTCTCCCATACAGCCAACCTCCCTCACAGGCAAGTCGGCAGCTTAATCTATTGCATCGCACCTTGCTACTCCTGTTTTCTTCCCTCCTTACCCTCCTTGCCCTCCTTGCCCTCCTTGCCCTCCTTGCCCTCCTTGCCCTCCTTGCCCTCCTTGCCCTCCTTGCCCTCCTTGCCTCCTTGCCTTTCTTGCCCTCTTTGCCCTCCTTGCCCTCCTTGCCCTCCTTGCCCTCCTTGCCCTCCTTGCCCTCCTTGCCCTCCTTGCCTTCCTTGCCCTCCTTGCCCTCCTTGCCCTCCATGCCCTCCTTGCCCTCCTTGCCCTCCTTGCCCTCCTTGCCCTCCTTGCCCTCCTTGCCCTCCGTGCCCTCCTTGCCCCTTGCCCTCCTTGCCCTCCTTGCCCTCCTTGCCCTCCTTGCCCTCCTTGCCTTCCTTGCCTTCCTTGCCCTCCTTGCCTCCTTGCCCTCCTTGCCCTCCTTGCCCTCCTTGCCCTCCTTGCCCTCCTTGCCCTCCTTGCCCTCCTTGCCTTCCTTGCCCTCCTTGCCCTCCTTGCCCTCCTTGCCCTCCTTGCCTTCCTTGCCCTCCTTGCCCTCCTTGCCCTCCTTGCCCTCCTTGCCCTCCTTGCCCTCCTTGCCCTCCTTGCCCTCCTTGCCCTCCTTGCCCTCCTTGCCCTCCTTGCCCTCCTTGCCCTCCTTGCCCTCCTTGCCCTCCTTGCCCTCCTTGCCCTCCTTGCCCTCCTTGCCCTCCTTGCCCTCCTTGCCCTCCTTGCCCTCCTCCCCTCTTCCCTTTTTCTCTCTTTTCTGTTCCGCTCTTCCCCCAGTTCCAAAGCCCCCCAGCTCTACTATAACGAATCCCACCAATGATATTCTATGATTCATAGCACCCCTGCAAACAAGACTCTCAAACCCACGAATCCTGTTTGTCAACCCACCAATGCAGGAATTTTCCGGGCCATTCTCGCCTGATCACCCCAGTCACAGCACTGGTAACAGAGAGGGCAACCACACCAGGACCAGCAGTATCAGCAGAGAAGGAGATTATTACAGCGGCAATAGAGAGGGAGAGTATAGCAGCAGCAGCAGAAATCCAGGCGCCAGCAGCAGTAACAGCAGGCGTTTTCTAGGCTCAACCATGGGGCCTCAAGCAGGAGAAGCACACAGTTTACACTCAGGTGACCCTGTTACAACACCTGTAACAGATCTGGTTACCACCGATGACGATCACCAACCCCTGCTGAGAAGGTTGTGATGACCTGGCAACCAGATAATAAGCTGACGTGACGGTCCAGCGACCTGGCGACAATTTGACCTGGCAATCTGGGTGATGTGGTGACCAGCTGATCTGGCAACAAGACAAACTTAAGAGCCTGGTTACAAACAACGACGAAGGCAAAAGCTGCAAGCGAAACTGCGATGCATGTTGCTAGCATGAGTGGAAATTTTTACATGTATATGAGTGTAGTTCCATATAGATGTAGTACTGTGACACCAAATAGCATCCAGATCATAGGGATGCTACCTCATGAACTTGGTTGAGGTTTGAGTTGGTGAACAAGTGTTGAAACTTCGGATTTGACGTACGGTACAAGCCTCTATTGACTAGTTGAACAAAGAATCTGTTGAGCTCAGAATCAAACTAAGCTCCAGATCATGCATTACGACTACAGAGCTTAGCACTACGGATTACATGTTGTAGTTAACTGACAAGATACACACTGCTTTATAATCATTTCACAAACAAGCAGGAACGAACACACAGACAGAGCTGCAGAGACTGATAGAAACTGTGGCAAATATGCCCAAACCCTAACACCGCTACAGAAATACACGTTCTTTTGAAGCAGCAGCTGCCTAGCAAAAACACAAGCTGCTAACACCGTATAATAACACCTGCTAGCCCTGTCATTATTGATCTTGGTCAACGCGAACACTGTAGTCATCAGGTCTTGATCTTGGGAGCACAGAAGTGGTAATCAAGGGTGGACAGAGCCCTGCCAGCAGCGTCGGCCGCGCCTGCCACGAGCGCCCTACTGGTTGCCACCACGAGCTCATTCAGCCTCTTGCTCTCCGCCTTGAGCGCCCTCACCTGCTCAACACGCTGTGTGGTTTCCTGTTGGTCAAATCGCACACAAGAGTGGGGGCAGGGAGATTTGGAAGAAAAGGGGTAAAGAAAAGCCTTTTTCTTTCCGCCTTGAGAGCCTGCACCTGCTCAACGCGCTGTGTGGTTTCCTGAAATGTGACATGGTGGGTTGAAAGGGAGATTAAGCCGGGACCTGAGAGGGCATTCAGCATCTTGCTCTCCGCCTTGAGCGCCCGCACCTGCTCAACGCGCTGCGATGTATCTTGTTATGTGAGGCAGTGGTTTGACAGGGGGAGTGGGGGATGGATAGGAAGAATCATCAGCCACTTGGATCATCTGTGCCCCGCACGCACACACCTCAGCTTCCCACTGTCATCACTGATTTTGACTATTGACTCAATCCAGGAGACCACCTCTTGAGGTTGATTCAAAAGTTTTCTCAAACTCCATTTTTCTGGCACCCACCCACACCACTCCTCACCTCAATCTGCTGTGCCAGTTTCTTCTCAGTTCCCTCCAGCATCATCCGTCCCCAGCTTCTATCAACCCTCTCTCACAACCACTCCAGCAGGACTTCAGCATTCCTCTCACCTCTATCTGCTGTGCCAGCTTCTTCTCAGTTTCGTCCAGCACCATCCGTCCCTGACTCATCTCCCCTCTCTCTTACCATCACCACTTCAGCAGGACTTCAGCATTCCTCTCACCTCTATCTGCTGTGCCAGCTTCTTCTCTGTCTCTTCCAGCTTCACCCGTCCACGGCTCACCTCCCCTCTCAGCACTGCCACCTCCTGCTCTGCACGAAGCCCTACACATCCCACTGACCCCACCCGCGCTCACCCCCACCGCTCCTCACCTCAATCTGCTGTGCCAGCTTCTTCTCAGTCTCTTCCAACTTCACCCGTCCACGGCTCATCTCCCCTCTCAGTGCTACCACCTCCTGCTCTGCCTGCTGCCGTGCCGCCTTCTCAGTCATCAGCAGCTGCAGCCCAGCGCCAGCGCCATCAGCACCGTCCCCTGACTCTGAAGCGATTAGCAAAGCCTCCTCCAGGTGCCCCTTCTCCTCCTGCGCCTCCCTCAGCTGCTGCTCCAGCCGCTGCACCACTGCAGGCAGGGAGGGTTGGGTGGATTGGGAAGGTGGGGAGGGAGGGGAGGGGAAAGAGGGAGTAGGAGAGGAGAAAGCGTAAGCAGCGCCCCAGCGCCAGCGCCATCAGCACCGTCCCCTGATTCAGAAGCGATTAGCAAAGCCTCCTCCAGGTGCCCCTTCTCCTCCTGCGCCTCCCTCAGCTGCTGCTCCAGCCGCTGCACCACTGGAGAAGTTGGGAAAGGGGGGGGGGGGGAGAAAGGGGGGTTGGGTGGGAGGAGGGGAGGAAGGTAGGAGAGAGGGTAGGGGAATGAGGGAGAGAGGAGGGGAGAAGTCAGGTGACTGTGCCACTGCACCACCGCTGCACTTCAAGATTAGAGTTCTGAGGTATCGTTAAGGCGTCTGAAAGTCAGGCTGGCTGAAAGAATCGAGGAAAAAAAAAAGTGAGTCTAAAGCTTACTTTCTCGGGCCGATGCCAGCTCTTTGGCCATATCGTCCCGTTCAATTGTAAGGCACTCTGTGGCCTTGGAGAGATTCTGCACACGGTAGCAGGAATGTCAGAAGGCAACAGCACACAAGGGCAGCACACAGGCAAGAAACGGGTGACAGACAGGGCATGAGAATGTATGAGAGAGAGAGCGAGGGGAAGATGAGGGGTGGCAGACCTGCACGTGGGTGAGAGCCACAGAGGTGAAAGCACCAATGAGCTCCTTCACTTCAC